CTGGGTTGATCAAGAACTGATCCTGTCCCTACTCTGTATGACAGCCTTTCAAGTACTGAAAAGTGCTATCTTATCTCCTTTCAGTCGTTTTTTTCTCAAGACTAAACATGCCCAGTTCTTTCAGTCTTTCCTCAGAGGGCTTGGTTTCCAGCCCCTGATCATCCTTGTTGCTCTCCTCTGAACTTGTTCCAATTTGTCAAAATCCTTCTTGAAGTGCAGTGTCCAGAACTGGACACAATACTCAAGGTAAGGCCTAACAAGTGCCAAATAGAAGGGAACAAAGTACCTTGCAGGGTTTGGAGACTATATTTCTACTAATGCAGCCCAAAATAGCATTTGCCTTTTTTGTAGCCACATCACACTGTTGGCTCATATTCAGCTTGTGATCTACAATGATTCCATGATTCTCACTTATAGTATTGCTGAGCCATATATCCCTCATCTTGTAACTGTAGACCAATACTTTTCCTGGGTGCAGTATTTTGCATTTATCCCTGTTGACTTTCATTCTGTTATTTCTAGCCTTGTGCTCAAGCCTATCTAGATCAGTTTGAATTTTGTTTCTGTCTTTGAGATTACTAGCTATTCCACCCAGTTTTGTGTCATCCATATTTGATTAGCATTCCCTGCACCCCCTGATCCAGGTAATTAATAAAAATGTTAAAGAGCACTGGGCCCAGTGGTTAAAATGCTGTACTGCAGCTAAAAAAAACTGTGCTCACGACCTGGGGTTCAAATCCCAGGTAGCCGGCTCAAGGTTGACTCAGCCTTCCATCCTTCCAAGGTCGGTAAAATGAGTACCCAGCTTGCTGGGGGAGGCAATGTGTAGCCTGTATAATTAAAAATTGTAAACCGCCCAGAGAGTGCTTGTAGCGCTATGGGGCGGTATATAAGTCCAATAAATAAATAAATAAAATTAAAATATCTGCAAAAGCCAGGTTTGCACCCCTCATATGGCCAGAGTTACAGCACTAGAAACACAGGAAGTTGCTTTATGTCAAGTCAGACCATCAAACCTTTATTGTCAGTTATACATAATTGCTGCTCTCCAATGCATCTGGCAGGAACTTCTTTGCTTCTGAAGATGTGAAGGGTTGAGATTGCAACTTTTTGCATGTGGGCTAAAGCCAGACACAGATACATACTTGGATCCTGCAACAAAATGTTGCACTGTGCTCCCACTTCCAAATTGAAGTGTTCTCCATCAGGGATTGTAACCAGCCTAGAGCAGGAAGCCTTGGAGTTCTGCTCAGGTAAATCTGATCTTTTTTGCCCTAAACCCAATTGCCATTTCCACTGAGTTAACTGCAGAATAAGTCAGTGCCTAAGTCAATCCCCGTCCATGGGGTCAGACACAACTTAACAACTGAACAACAAGTCAATCCCATTGATTTAGTGGATCTACACAAGTCAGAACTGGCAATTTTATTTAGACCATTATAGGTGGAAGTGAAGTGGATTTTCCTAGGAACAGTATATTAGAAACTCTTTGTAATACAAATTATTAATCCTTAGTGGGCAATTAAGAGCCATTTGCTTTACAAAATACATCCTCACATACTTCAGTGAACAGTTACAGTGGTACCTCTATTTACGAACATAATCTGTATTGGAACGGTGTTCATACGTCGAAAAGTTCGTAAGTCGAGGCAAGATTTCCCATAGGAATGCATTGAAAACCATTTAATCTGTTCAGGCTATTTTTCGTTCGTATGTCGAGGTGCTGTTTGTAAGGTAATGCAAAGCTGGATATTTCGTACTCTTCCACTAGGGGGAGAATTGTTTATTTTTTTTCTTCTTTTGACCTAAGATGAACTTAGGTCAAAAAAAGGGCAGGAAAGGGTTTTTTGTTCGTAAGTTCAGGCTCCGTTCACAAGTCAAAGCAACATTTTGCAAACGGAGCTGTTCGTAACTCGAAACATTCACAAGTGGAGACGTTCGTTAGTCGAGGTACCACTGTACTGCTGGTTGCAATTTTAACTCTCTTAAGGTGCCCCTGGCTAGGAGCCTTAAAAAGAAATCTCTCATTGGTTTTTAGTATTAGAGGATGAGTGCAAATTAACAGATTTCTTCATATGGGACAAGGGGCTCATTGTGTAAAACAGTTCTGAGCTTTTCACATAGGATGGGCTAGAGACAGAAATGACCCAAAAATAACTATGATATTATTAGTTCAGTTATATAATCTATGTACAGTTTCACACAATTCTAAGTTAAGCTTTTTAACCATCCCGAGTTTCAGTAGAAGATCACAGGCATGCCTCAGCCATTAACCATGTCCTTCATATTTCTACAAATCTTCCTTTACGTGTTCAAAGTATTTCTGTGTGACTGACAACCAGAAAGACAGGACCCCTGTTGATGGCCTGTTGCACCTCTCCCTGCGACGTGAAAATGCACAACCTCAAGCTCACTTGTTGATTGCAGCGAATCTCTTAATTGTTTGGGAGGAAATTACAGAAGATGGAGAAAAATGGGAAGGATACGGAGTGAGGGGGGGAGGAGAGAGCCAAAGGCAGCCCTTAGAGGAAGAAAGTCTGGGGAAGGATATAAAAGAGGAGGAAAAGGCGGGGAAAGGGTCAGAAAGGCTTGTTACGATGTGCAAATGTTGCCAGTGCTAAAAATCTTGGTTTCCCCCCTCTTAGTTAAGAAATACATAAAATAAGCAGCTCCCTGTGTGTTCAAATGAAACGTCAGCCACAGTTATTTAAATGAGTCTTCTTTTAGGGCGACCAGAACATATCATTTCCCTGGCTCATGCAGGGGACCTGTCCCTGTCCAAATGAGCCAGTCCTGCCTTTGTTCTGTTGCATCCTGGAATACCTGGCAGTCCATCTTGATGTGTTAGCCCAAGAAATCCTGGCATGCCTGGAAAGCCTGATAGACCTGATGGTCATCTAATTCCTTTGAGTCAGAATAGAATCAGTTTCTTTTATGAAATAAATTCATTTGGCCCTAGCCATATGTTATGAGCAAACTACTAGTTGAGATTCTCTATTATGGGGGAAACTCTTAAAAGACAAAAATGTTCAAGAATTACGTTTATTTTTCCAGTTTTGCTTATAAATGTCTGGATTGTTTTCAGTTACTTGAATAAGTGTAAGTGTCTGTAGTAGTTTTTTTTCTTTCTTGAGCTACGCTCTGTTCCAGAAAGTGTGCAAAATAAACAGTAGACCTAAGGCTTTTATGAGCTTTGCTGTCAAGACTTAGTTTAGGACAACTCTATGAAAGGTTATACAGTATCTGTGAGGATTCTCAATAATCCATGTGAATTTATCTGGAAGTTGAGTCATGGCAACTGGACTTCTTTCTTTTTAGGCTGAAACGTTTCGCTACTCATCCAAGTAGCTTCTTGAGAATGAGGAGAGTCGGTAGGAGACCCCTGATATATCCTCCATGCTGGTTTCACCTTTCCCTGGTCTCCTTAGATGGACAAAGGAGGGGTGTGTGAAAATCCCACTTCTGCAGTCCTTCTCCGCCCATTGTTATGGGTCATTAACAGCAGTTAGCAGTGGTCTTTCTGGTGGGGATAGATGAAAGGGCAGCATGATAAATAGGAGCCAGATTGTATCTATGAAAGGTTGTGACAAAGACATCCTCATAATAGAGGCTCTTGATGAAGACCTGATATTAGGCTCCTAGTAAGAAAATGATATTTACGTGTCTCCAAGGATCCATCAAAACACAGTTCACCCCATACTTTGACTGACATGTTCCCTGGTAATACTTTATATGCTTGAATTTTAATGGTGTTGGGAAGAGCGTGTGACCTATAAGGCAGCAGTCCCCAACCTTTTTGGGACCGCGGACTGGCTGAGCCTCCGAGGAAGGCGCCCCCACCCGCAGGTGCATGCGCGCTCTTGAGTGCATGCGCGAAGCAGTGGGGGAGCCCCCGCCCACCAGCACCGGCGTGAGCGCTCCCCCACCCCTTTGCGCATGTGCAGGGGCACCTGCACGCTCGCCTGTGCGCCCACCCACCCCTTCACTCAGGCGCTCAGGTGCATGTGTGAAGGGGTGGGGGAGCTCTCACGCTGGCGCTGGCACGTGCGCAAAGCAGCTGTAGGGAGGGGAGTGCGTGCGGGGGGCAGGAAGTCTGTCTTTGTGGCCCAGTCCGTCTCAGGCCACGGACTGGCACTGGGCCGCAAAACGGAGGTTGATTACCTCTGCTATAAGGGACTAAAAGGATTGGGGTTGGATAATGCCTCTCAGTGGACGGGACAGTAGCTTGCATTGACTTGTGAAGGGTTTTGCCCCAAAATTGAATATTACTTCATTTAGGTATTTCACAATATTGATGCAAAATGCGATTTCTGCATACAGGTAGTATGCTTAATTTTTTCATCTGTGAGGTTATTTGTGATTCCCTTCCCCACCAAATTGAAACTCCCATTATTCCATCAGTGATTGCAGGATTCTTATCATTAGGAAAACAAAATGTAGAATTTTGTGCTCTCCTGAAAAGTGCTACCCAGATAAATTGGGTGCCTATTCATAAATATACTGAAAGTGTATGCTTTATTTTGACAGAAAGAAAAAATAGTAATTACTGCTGTAAACATTTCAGGACCTTTTCCAAACTTCTCTTGTCTCTTAGTGGTTTAACATAAAGAGTTCATTAAGAGACCATTCATATTTTTGGAACCCAGCATCAGTGTGTTTAATACCTGGCCTAGAGGTAGTACAGTATGAGAAAATGAGTTGGAAATTGGCACATTTCAGCCTTTTTTCTTAGTGTTTCTTTGGCCTGTGTTTTTTAGAAACTTTTCTCAGCTGTTCCTCTGATCACTTTCCACTTGGCCGTGGCATGTAAGCAGCACTTTGCTTTGATCCAGCCAAGAGAGCATTCCATGCCTGCTGACCTTCCATAGCCCCTGCAATGACAGCTGTGTAGCACTGCATTTTGGTTAGCTCACTGTGGCTTCAAGACTTGCTCTCTCAGGAACATAACGTGGGTGCATATCATCTAAGAAGTCTGGCTCTGGACTTGAGTGGATTGTGTGTGGTTGGATAGGAGTGGCCTTTTCCTATGTTGATCTCTAGCACTGCAACCTGTCTTATACAATGCTGCTGACATTGCAGACACATTGGGCCCGGGAGGAGCCTTCATCCTTTTTGCCCTCAACCTGCTACAACAGAAAAATGGTCACAGGTAGGGGCTGCTATGATAAAGGGGAGAGTACTGCTTAGATATTGAATAAGATATTTGTCCTAAACTGTGGGACTTGGGTGGTGAAGAACAACAGTTTGTGGGAACTCTGAGAAACATGTTTTCGTCTTTGATCATGTAAAGGAGGAAGACTATTAACACAGGGGAAGTTATTTTTCTTTAGCATTATAATATATGGAGGAGAGACTATGATGTGAAGACACTCTCTGAGGTGTGTGTGTTTATTTAATCCTTTAATTTATATTCTGCCCCATTCTGGATGGTATACAAAGGTTTAAAACAAAGCTTCATGACAAAACAGTAAAATATTATACAAATGGCGGTACTGTGACAAGAACATTAGGAAAAACAGAAAAATCAGTGGCACCAACAAATTATCACAGAAAAGCAGAACGGAAGGTGAAATGTTCAACCAGGGTCAGATTGAAAAGCCTCCCTGAAAAGAAGTGTTTTAAACTGTCTCCTAAAAGAATATGGGGGTGGGTGGGTTGGGGGGCAGGGGGGGGCTTCTCCAGGATTTAGTTTCATAGCCTTGGTGCCACTGTGTTAAGAGGGATCATGGTGGAATCTGAAAGTATCCTGAGTAAGAAAGCCAAGAAGTCAAGAGTTTTACTTAAGATATGATTTTGGTTGAAGAAGATGAAGAATCCTAAGGATAGTTTGGCTTCATTAATAGGTGAGTAAGAACTGAATCGGGAGAGTCAGAGTTATATGAACAATTTGCCTGAATTGGGCATAAAATGGCTGATTTCTAATGGTACATATACTGTACACACTAACCTGTCACTGGTGCATCAGAAGAATCATGCTTTAATTATCAACATGGGGATTGTGTTTGGAGAGATTTGTGTTCTATTTATATACTTCTGGGAGAATTTTTAACCTATTTCCTTATGATTGCAGAACTGATTTTAGATTCTATGGACCCAGCAATTATCTTTGTGAATTAGAGAGTTGCACAGTACCAGATGATTTTTTGCTATGTACCGGTTAGCTGGTAAAAACAGATTTCTAGCATTTGTCTTGTTAAGATGACTTGAAGTACTGTACTTTTTAACTCACGTGGGTATCCAAAATAAACTGTTATATGAATCAGACCTTCTGAGATGCTAACTATGGGTGGAGGAACTTGTGTTTAAATGCATAGGCTCACTGTATCTATCTTTCTAAGTTAAGACACTTTGTTTTGCTGAAATAAAATGGCTTTAGATTGTGATAGACTATATTCCTTTTCTTAAAGGGGTATACTAGGCAAAAGCAGAATTGTGGCTAAAATCCTGTTGCTTTGCATAGTAATTTGCAGTAGATAGTAAGTTGCAGTAGACTAGGTCCGCATGATCAGTGGCACAAATGGTGAGTGTACTTGTAATTGTGACTTAACTACACTAAAGAAAGTCTCAACTAGAGTAGACCAATTTGAATCAGTGGACCTTATGGAGGAATTGACTCACCAAATCCCATTAATTTGACAGGCCTACTCTAATGTGGCTTACTGTGCTAAGAAACAGGATTTCAGTTAATCAGTTGAGTATGAAACATGAAGTGAAAAAAAGTATTTTGTGGTGGAAGACTTCTCATACTGGGCATTAAAATATAATGTGCCCTGGTCTAATTGTGTATGTTTTTGTTAACTTTATGTATAAGCACTTCACCCTCAATACAACAATTTGGCCAGAATTGTATTTATACTGAAGTAAAGGAAACAGTGTAAATCTTGGCAAGAAATTGCTTCTTATTTAACTCAGTGCTGGTTGTGGTCCTGGACATGTGCTCAGTTACACAGACATTTGTAGGAGTGTAACCAGCAGCTTATTAATGAGTGGCAATTTGGCTGCAAATCTTACAAGATTTTCTTTATGCTAGAATAAACCAACAGTGTAATTCTGGCCTGTCACATTTGTTCAGAATCAAATGTACAAGTGTTTGCATCATTCTGTTTGCAGGGCTTTCAGAAATATTTTTTTGTTTGTGTTTTTGTGTGCCTGTTTGTTTGCTCTTTTTTGTTTGCTTTGTTGTTGATGATAAAGTTTGATAAATGTTAAGTCTCGGGAATGGGACCAGTGGCTTTGGTGCGCATGAGAAGATAGATTATGTGACAAGGAAAGGCTAATTTGTTGACAGAGTTTGCAGTAAAATGCTTATTAGAGTATCATGTTGGCAATTAAGATTTGGTTTTGGCTACAGTATTGTGCAAACAATTGACCCCAGGACCAAGTTGTCACTTGGCAAAATTGTTTAAGGCAGAGCACTGTTTTTTCTTTGTTATAATGTTTAATGGATACTGCCTGCATACTTTGAAGCATTATTCCATATCTATATTAGCAATTATTTGCCATCAAGTTGGTTTTGACTTACAGTGACCTTTTGCAGGGCTATCTAGGTATGGCATATTCGGAACTGGTTCCTTCTTCTGGAATAGCCTAGGACGATGTAGTTTGCTCAGCACCACATCGGCTGACTCTTATCCTACAAGGCACAATGGGGAATTACAACTCTCAACCCCAACTGGTGTTCTGACTCACCAAGTTATCAGAATTTTAAAAATCTGTTTCTAAAGAATTCCACATTCAGCAACTTTGTACAGCAAACTGACATATATATGGATTGTGCCTAGTCTTTTTATTAATTAAGAGATGTTGATCCTAAAAACACAAGAGGTAGTTTAAAGACAGATCATGCAGTTCATTTTGATAAGAAGCTTATGATTAACCCTTAATTCAGGCGGAATTGCAAAGGATTTTTTATAACTTCCTTTTGAGTGAATTCTTACACTGTTATACTTTTCAGTCATATGGTATTGGTACACTTTTCCAGGTGAGAAGATAGAGAGCGAGCTCTCTTTAATCCTTATTTAAACAAACTTACAAAAGATTACTTTCATCAGCCTTGCCCTGCTCGGCCAGAAGCATGTACTCAACTAGTTTGTTTGTACAGAGCAGTACGACTTCAGAATCCTTTCATTAATTGACTGTTGCTGCTAACAAGTGCACAGGTGCAGCCAAGTTGGTACTGGAGAGATCCTGTACTGTCAGGAACTGGATGAGTAGTAGGAGTTCAAGCAGGTGTTCTTCCTGCCAAGTTGGGGCTGGGTTTTGTTCCTCAGTGTAGCAGGGCTAGGAATAGAAACAGTTAGCTCTTTCAGCATGTCTGCTGTTGTATCTCATTCCAGCCACACTTAACACGTCCTTTCCATATCTAAGAATAGCATTTAGTAGTTCAGATAATTGCTGAGACACTAGCAGTAATAATAAAATTATATTTTATGTCTAAAATCAGCACTAGCTAGGACAGCAATATCTACTTTTCTTAAAAGGCAAAATTTCCACTAGTGGAAAACAGTCAGAAACACAACTAAAAGGGGGAAAGTAAGAATACAGCTGGTAACACCAATTTTGGAGGTTCCAAAGAGTCCCATTCTGAGTATTCTTGGCAAAAGTGCTTAAGATGAAAGCTTTTTTTGCGAGGTGGTGGTGGTGGTCTACTGTCTCTCCAAGTGTGGCGTGATGTGAAAGACCTGTGCAGTTTGATGGTTAGATTGCTTGGTTGGCATGGGAACATGTGACTTGGGTCTGTTCAACCCTGGAGATTATTTAAGATGGGGACCGGTCTCTGGCAAGGCAGTCTCTTTAGTTTAACCTGCTTCACAGATTTTGGCATGAGGATGAAAATATGATAGGTTTTCAGCACTTGATGATATGGCCGGTTATAACTTAAATAATATAAATTAGTTTTAAAATTTAATCTCAGGTCACTGCTATCTTCCAGCCAAAATACTGTAATCAGAATGGCAACCTGTTGGCGAGGGCTAAGTTCTTCTTCATCTTTTTGCCCTGTTTGTAGTATGCTCTGAATCAATTACATCTGACTACCTAAATGGAAGTAATGATAGCAGTTCAGAGTAGTGCTGGAGTTGGCTTGAAACAGTGTGGGTGAGCAAGAAACCCTATTTTACCTGTATGTCTGTCAATAAAGAGGCTCTGGAAGATAGGAGCCTTCAAAATTAATTCTAAGCGAAATAGCAGGAATGAGGATTACAAACTGTGTTCCATATATACAGTGGGGTCTTGACTTGAGAACTTAATCCGTATTGGAAGGCGGTTCTCAAGTCAA